CGTATAAAATTCAAAGATTACTTCAACGTCACGAGGAGTGTGGCATATTTACCTAAAAGGAACCCCGTTCTTATGGATTTTCTATCAGACCGCTTTCTTTCAGTGCCGCAGGTAATAATGATGCTGGTGTCACTTCTCCCAATTAATAAGCCGAAGCACATCATCGCCTCCCTTGTAGAAACGTAGGGAACTATTTAAGAACTGCAGATGCCAAAATATCATGACATAAACGGGTTTCTAAATTACTAGAAGCAAGGGAACCTTGTGGCTTTGCGGTGTAATACCGGAATGTTACCAATGCCGACGGTATTAAACTAGCAAACCTATAAAAACTTGTTTTTCTTTTGATATATATGCTTCAGACAAGTATTTTTGTTGGTGTTCGATCATGGCTTTCGTTCGACCCAAAAAAGGAGCTTTTCTGAACTCATGCAGCACAGGTGTGGTGACCTGCTGAAACGCTCCCCTAGGCAATTAAGAACAAGGGGACAGTGCGCTGCGCAGTGTAAGTCCGGAGAAATTACATGATAATAATAATAATCACTAGTCACTTTAAAAAATTGCAATGATCGACTGTAAGACTTCTTTCAGACTGACTTTCAAAATCTGACCACCAGGAAAGTGGCTATAATTTTCTATACGAAACTGGTATTCATCTAAGTATTTCTATGCATGTATAAGTCTCTTTCAGCAGCTGAGTGGTGCACTTCTTGCGAGAGTATACGGGAGATAAATCATACTGGTATCTAGACTGTTGCCTTTGCTTGTTAGATAAACAAAAGCAACTGTAATATTGCTTTGAATATATAAACTCAAGCACAAACCGTCTTTATAGGTGCATTATTCTTATCAATATATACTACGGCTTATATGCATATAAACTGGTGAAAGAATCGTTAACTATGAAAGCTTGATAAGATTTAGCAGTTTTAAGTTCATCATTAAATCAGTGAAAACGTTAATATCACTTGCTAAGAAACACCCTGAAAGCTGATTTTAAACTGCCACGTTACCATAAGCAAAACTCCGCTGTGCGCATCGACATTTGGATATGGATTTTGAACCTTTCCGACAGCCTTCAGCATCTCTGGCACGATCTTGTACAGATCGGCCACTAATTTCACCCATGGGTCATTAGGCAGATTCTTCAGCGCAAACTCATGCTGAACTACGAATCGAGGATCTGTCTTTCTTAGGACAGCATGACCATAGCCAGGAATGACCTAAAAGAATGTATTGTAAATCAGAAATCGTCATTACAAAATACCTGTCCGGAATTCAAATATCTGTTTAACCAGTCCTTCAGCGACTGTTCCGTGTAGCTGTGATTCAGATCTGCTTTTATCTTTTGTAGGAACATAAGAACTTCCTAAACTTGTATAATTTATGTTTGTTGCTTCATTTTAAATCGAAAATTACCTGATTGGCAAGCCCATGCAAAGGGCCGGCGAGGCCGGTCATGCCGGCAGCAAAACACAGGTAAGGATCTGAAAGAGCACTACCAACCAGATGCGATGCGTGGGCACTTACGTTTCCTCCTTCGTGATCACTAAACAATACGTTATAATTGTGAAAGCCGTTTTAGACATCTAAATTAACTTCTTTTTATACTCTGGATAATTTAATTATATCTGCTGAGATATCTTAAACTGGCCTTACCAACGAAATTAACTGCAATAAGCCCGTTATCATTCCTACGATTTTCGGTTTATCGGAAGAAATTAGGAGATTTTTAAAGTAGTATGGATGTATATGTGATTTTCTCGAGGGACCCGCGCTGGAATCAATACTATACAAAAAAGCATCGTTATGTCATGCAAATTAACAATGTTTGTTGCCCTTAATTTGTTCAATGTGGTCGTTTTGAAACGGTGAAACATTTCAGGAATGGAAATAAAGAACAAAGATTTTATAAACCAGTATTCGGAACTGTCTAAGCTGGAGTGAGTACTCTGTGAAGTGACCATTGACAGGATAAGACCAATATAACTTGAGCCAATCAGAAAAAAAAGGTTAAATTGCAAACAAAGAACCACTGCATATTTCTGCGAAAAAAAGGTGCATCGGCAGCGCTGGATTGATCTGCACTTTTCGCTGGGTTTGATTAAACGCTATATAATTTACATTAGGAAACATTTTCACTGTTAAAAACTTACTCATATTCTGCACTACTATTTAAAACCAGACGTTAGGATTTCACGGCAATAAGCATATTGACAAGACACTGCAAATTCTTTCACAGTCATAATAGCATAAGTAATTGGTCATAATCATAAGCTGAACAATGAAAAATATACCTGGTAATTAAAATAAACGGTTTCTTACAGAGTAAATTTTTAGGAGAAAAAGCCGCTTATCTGAACTTAATTTCATAAATAATTCATAACTGACGGACGAATGCGCGACCTAGCAATATACCAAACTATGGTGGTAGCCCACGTGCCGCATATTTCAAATTTAGTATAGTTGCGTGGCTTTTGAAAAAGTCTTATTAGTTTCAGGTGCCTGGCTTGCATCTGAGAAAATGAAAAGAGGTTGTGATTATCTAGACAATCGCATTAATCCTTCATTACTAACGTCAGAACCAAATGCAGGCTAAAAGTGATTATACATGCAGAATAGGACGGAATTCCTCGTACCACAGAGATAAACAGAAAAATCGTGTTAAGTTTCCCACAGATGCCTCAACGTAACGGAGTTCCTGACACTGAACAAACAGTAGTCAGTGGTCAGGATACGCCACGGTACCAATATCTGTGATTATCGTGGAGAGGTATGTACTGAACAATTTGCAATTCAACGGCAAAAAGCATGACATTTTTAGCAATTCAACGGATTCACTGGTACGAACCCTAATTTATGAAACGCTATGATGTACTCGAAACTGACACGCTGCAACGCTGGAGAACATCAAGCATCTAACAGGTTAGCGATTGTCTTAGTTTTTTCATGATCCACATGTAAGTAAATCTGTCCTTAAAAAGCTAAC